CGTCGAAGCATCTGCATAAGAAGCCGACATGTCAACCTGAGACTGAAGAGCACTTCGGTCCAATCAATCGACAGGAAAACCTAAAACTCAATTAAATTATACATCATATAAGTTGTTAGTATTTTCACAGTATTTTATTCCTGTCATTGGTATTATCAGAAGCAGTAAGCTTGCTGGAAATACTATCAAAAGACATAATGAGCACATGTGTAATACAAACTTAATTACAGGATATTTTAGTCATACCACGATACACTGACGTAATCTATGAGATTAGTCGAAAAAGTACTAATAGCAGTCTCAACAGGAAGAGAGCATAGCTTCGTTAAATCATCCTAAGTATCAAAGTTCAGTTATTTGTCTGTCAAAATTGGATGCTAAAATGAAATACTACATCAACAAGTCGCTTAATCTAGTAGCCGTATGTGTTCAATAAAATGTGTTCAGTACGGCAGGATTAACAGTCGATTTGGTTACTATCTTGTGATCGATTCGAGAGTTACACTGATTGTTATACATGGTATTGATAATTCTTGGAAGTCACATAACCATCGGCATGAAATGACTTTCTTAAATTGTGCATAGGTCATTTTATGTTAGTTGTTGGTGTGACTGGACTTTTATTTATTTATTTCATTGGAAAGGGGCTCAGTCGCATTTACGTTTCTAGAGCTATTCCTTAAATTAGCCAATCACAGATGTGTATATCTAGTGTTTTTATTACATAGTTGGCTGATAGGACAGGTTTGAAATCCTCAATGCTTTTAAACCCTTGTTTATATCAACCAGTATTACATCTTATACCAAACTCTTTACTTATAATGTGGAGATTGTTCTTGGCGCTCTCTCGGGGCATCACTTCTATGGCCTCTTGGAGTAGCAGTTTGCGCTCTAAATCCAGCGACCCTGGTTCGAGTCCCTGCTAGGTCTTGTCTGCTGGATCTTCACTGAGTCAGTGGTCTAATGGCATAATTTTCATCAACCACCCACATGGTCCAGATCCGATTCCCGGCTGACAAATTCTTAAACCTCACCTATCCATTAGTAAATCCCCAGAAGAGGAAAGGTTAGATGTGAGGCTAGCAGTATCAGGCCATCAACAATCAACATCATGGGTAGTGAGAATTCAAAGTCTGAAACCTACTCCGAATGCAAAGAATGAGGAAAACTATTTCATCTTACACCAACCTATGTAACAAACAATTTAAGTACTGTTTAAATATCATTATTAAATGAATGTGGAAATGCACCTGGCTCCAAAATGGGATAGGTCATTTCCCTCAGATACTACTTGAGTAATTTGTGTTTCCTAAAATTCACAAACAAAAATCGTCTTAAATAAAAACATTATCTAATCCAAAATCTCAAGTTCATTTCAATATTTATAATTTTATTATAAGATTTGTGGTTGCCTAAAATTAAGGTGAAACTATAAAACTGTCACTCTTGATGGTTTTTGAGTTCATATAAGAAATGGGTTATACGGAATGGTATCTGCAATCCTATTCTGACCAAGGTTCGAATCCCTCCAACCATTTAACATCAATTCAGAGTGTACGCGATGGTAAGCCATCTAGTCTGGTGGTCATATTGCAGAGCTGACTGATAAAATTCAGTCGGAACCAAACGAAGGAATTGATGCGTGACGTTAGTTACTACCTAGTGACTAATCAGAGTACTGCTAATTGCATTCATGTGTTAGTTTGTAAGGATTTGGTTGGTTTTAAGACTTCATTATGAGGTGACATTGGTTAGAGAACCATTGGAAAACCTGAGAGTATTAGAGAGCTGTCTCGTCCTAGCCCCAGACTTGTCATCAACACGCACCCACCAGCAGGGCTCGAACCCAGGACCTTCCGGTTACAAGTCGAGATAGCTCGTAGACCATTAAGCCACTGGAACCGAATCCAGTGGCCAGCCCACGAATCCCAACTTCTGCTAATTCACGACATAGCGCGACCAATAGCCAATTTCATTGGTGGGTATCTGTTCTGACACCTGACCTCCTGTGACCCACTGGTTGTTTAATAAGAGACAAACTGATTCACTGGTTTTAAATTCTATGAGAGTCTTTGAAGGATAATAGACATATTGAAGCTACTAGCCCATATATTAGCTTATCTTTTTACAACAGTCATTTATATTTGTACTAGGTAATTAGAAATGTATTCATCTTTTATGTATCATTTAATAAATCCACGTACGTGTGACATAACTAGCATACCTCTTTCGTTATGCCTAGTCTGTTAAGCAACTCATAACAGAATTTAAAAAATCTTTACAGTCTAATAAAGATGCTAAATGGTAATTGGTAATTAATTCATTAGTGAATAAAAAGATAACCGTTTGTAAACAGGAATGATTAAATATGCATAACAGGATTCAAGAATCAATCTTCACCAGTCGTTTTGATTGTAATGTCTAATCGTATATTAGGCTGACTAGAATTCCCACCCCAACCTAAAATCCTTCTAACAATATTTTATTAAGTTATTAGTGTGTGAGATAAGTGACATTCCAACACGAAAATGTAAGCATACCTTGGAAGTGTCTTAAAAATGTGAGTTGAGCGACAGTGAGTAAAACAACCACGATATTTAGATATAATCATCATTGTTGCGTACTTGAAATACCAATATTTTTTTCTTTTAAATATTTCACATAATGAAGAATTAAACTTTGCTCACATTTACTGAGCCCCTTGTAGATCAGATAAACTAGGACGTTTACCTTGAACCGAAGCGTTTACTAAATTATCGTAGGCACTACATTTCATTAGAATGACTAAATTTATAACAGTGGACTAGTATTTTCAGATATACGTCGATTTTTTCTCATTATACAACTTATAACTAATTAACGTTACTAGTTGGCTAACATAACTTACTTCGGAAAATACAAATTACTCTAAAACTTTAAGATTACGAATATCACTCGATAGTTTATTTGTTAGTACATTTTTTTCTTTCTTGACTCACTTCTAGGTGTGTAATAAAGTAATGCCTGAAGCTGAAATGCTCAATAAGGTTACGACAAGGTTGAACCATTGACGTATGTGTTGTTATTCCAATACTGTATAAGGCTAAGACTTAGTTTTAAACTGGAAACACTCAGTGTTTTATCGACTTATTTTAAGAATAATACATTAATAAACTAGCTGTTCAAAAATGTATTCCCATTGAACTGCATAAAATACTAAAATGCAACAGGGAATGAGTACTGAACGGATAGGTGATATAAGTATAAAACTTGGGCACTGCGGCATAGTACAGTATAACTCCATTATGGATAAGATTTGATTTTGATAAATCACACACAGTGTTGTACAGTTATATTAACTGATGACGCTCATAACCTATAAACTCACTCAGAGACAAGCTCTGTAGGCTAAAAGACTTTTAGCTAAAAGCTAAAATTAAACAAAATAATATAATTTACAAAAAACCCTGCAATGACAGTGAGGCCAATTATATAGGTCAAACTAGTAGATCGGGGGTAATGAGATTGTCAAAACATAAGAATTTAGCCAGGGTAATAATGGTTGACCCCGAGAAGATGGGTAATTTAGAAAAAAGCTCAGCAATTGCACTTCATGCATTAACACACAACCACACAATACAGCCAGTGGGAGAGGGTTAAAATCCTAAGAAGTAATATAGGTAGGTAGGTAGGTGGAGAGAGAAATTGATTACTCAATCCTGGTTCATTGAGTCTACATCCAACACATGCAACAGAAATGACTCAATGCAAATACCAGAGATATGTATGGAAGATATTATTACCGCCAGTCAAATCAAAGGAGGATAATAAATAATCTCAAAATTCGATTTCAATTCAAGCACATCACAACATTCTAACAAGTTACTTATTTATTTTGACTATAAAAACACTCGTCTTATTTCCCATGCGATTGTAATTGATTAATAACACTCATATTATTATTTCTGAATGTATATTATCTCATATTGATTTTTATTCAAATATCTAGTCAATTCCACACATGTATATAAATGAAGGAAAAAGTTGTGTGAGTAGCTTGATATGATTATGAGCAATAGTTTGTGCTCGAAACGACATCAGTTGTTATTATTATTGTACAACACTATGTGATTTATCAAAATAAAATCTTGTCCATAATGAACGAATAGTTGGTTGAAAGTATCCATAACCAAGATGACGTCAGCATTGAGTTACCAAGTGAGTCGACTGACATGTGATAAACGTGTCACATAGCTATCCTAAATCTCACTTAGACCAAGGTTTATGCTTCAGTTTTAGTCAACACCATACTACACAGACATTATTAGGTTAAGCCGCATCTACTCCATAAAGTCTGAGAAGCATTTAAATGTATTGTTTATACTGATTGTAGGGAGTTGCCTCTTTGTTAAAATAAACATGTGTAATTCAATGCTGGTTACATGTTTTGTACACAAAATACAAGAATATTCACTTACCAGCAACCAAAACATATTATATAATCACTGACATAAGGGATTCCCTGCAATGTGGTTCAAACTAGTAACTACCGAAATGTTAACAATTCTTTTCATTGAACTGCCACAATAACTTGTTAAATGAATATACTATACAGCGAAACAGTATTATTTACTGAATGCTGTTTCGAACACAATTTATTGTTCACATCACAAGTAATACGATTATGTACAATCAGTTGTGTTCGAAACATCATCCAGTTTGTAATACTTTTTCACTATGTGATACCTTCAATAAACAAACTAATAAGGAGTTATGTACTATGCACAATGCCCAAGGTTTACAAATATATTAATTCAAATTTACCACTCTGATTGATAAGTACTTCACCACTGCAACTGATGACGCTGTCTAGCCTGACACACAAACAAACATCCATTGATATCAAATTAGCTTAATTAGGAATTAATTATGAAAATACAGGCATTTAACCATAAGTATTTATCGATTCATCTTACTTTTTTTAAAAAAGGAAAACAGGTTATACATTTCAGTAAAATACAGCCAAATTTAATAGAGTAAAGTTTCTAATTTTACAGTCAATCACTCATCTTTATAATCTGTGCGTTAACTTTGTTTGTTTTTGTTTTTTGTTAAAATAACCAATTTCCCACAGGTAAATTGAATCCCAATTTAAACAGCTGTTTCTTCAGAAGCTGTAGTAGATTTAGCTGACTTGGCTGCTGTCTGTTTTTCACCTTCATTTACTGTCTTTTTGTCTTCGGTATCACTCGGTTGTTGTTGCTGTTGTTGTTTTCCAGACTTTTGTGATGAGGCAGAGGATGATTCTTCAGCTGTTTCACTGACAGTAGTCGACAATACTGTTGGTGTTGTAGTCTTATCAAGTCCGCCTTCCGTTGTCTCATCCCCATGATCTAATGAATCATCTGTAGAATTCAGTGCTTCATGAAGTGCATCATGTGAAATAACTGTCCAATTCGCATCATCTTCACTACTATTTGCATCTGGTATTTTATAAGCATATGCATTAGTATTATTCAACTGTTCTTTACTGTTAGTTGTCGTTTGGCCGGATATATCATCAGTAGCAGTTGTTGTTGTTGCAGGCAGGCTTAATGTTAATTGAAAAGTGAAGCTGAAAATGAATAGGAAACAAACTGAAATAGCAGACATGTTGATTATAAATGTTAAAATTTAGTAGTAGCGTTTCCACACTTTAAAAGTTTGAATTAATATGGTGTCAGAGTATAAAAGACGTCACGTTTATGTAGGCGTTTATAACCTTGGAAATACCCGCATAAAATTTAAAAAATCATGACAGTTTTATTTTATCAATAGTGCCTAAAGATGTTGAATATTGAAGGGAATAAACTAAACAAAAATGGGAATGGGAATGTACACATATACGGGAATTATGTGGGATAGAAGTTATAGGCTAGAAATAGCCCGTATAATTGTTTTAATTTAAAGAGATTTACAATTCAATTCACTTTTTACTAATACAAAACTAATTTCTTAAAGTTGATTTGAAAAAAATGAAAAGGTTTATATCAGTTTGTGTCAGTATTCATTGAAATCTTACGCCTCCTTTTAGAATAAAATCTAAAGGAATTTGCCTGTCATATTGTTTAGGTAAAAGTCGTAAGCTTAAATCATAGCTGAGGTTTAATAGCACGATGTATTTGCTTTATTTGAATTAAGTAATTAATTAGCCATCCATTCGTCAGAATGATACTTCAACGTTTTTGCAAACTGATATTAAGGACAATCGATATTTCATAGAATATCTGTTACAAGTAATTTATTGACATTTGTGATGTGTCCGCATCAAAAAATGTGATTTTACAAAGATTTTGCCAGTGACTTGTTGTATTAATTTATTCGATAATCATTCGTGTATAACGAGATTATGTAAATTACTTAATAATTGTATTGGGAAAAGACCTTATGATAATAATTAGGAATACGGTTTACAATGAGCCTTTTCTTCCAGGTGTTCGATGGTTGAAGGTAATCGACATAAAGTCCTGGTCGTATGTTTCATACTTATTAACACTCGTCAGTAAGGTGTGTCTGCGATCTCGAAGGAATTGCTTACCTCCCGAAAATTCGGGTTCCAATCTTATTGTAAACTTGACTGTTAGAATTCAATCAGCAGTGACACTAAAGAGTAGACATATGGCATTGGCTATTCCCTAGTGACCAAACAGTTTATGCCGTACAGTTAGTCGTAAGTCTCACAAGTCAATAGTAACGCCTGTGACTGCAGCTTTGGGTGACGCAGGTTTGAATGCTCATGGGAAGAAGCATCAGTCAATTGCTTCTGGGATGTAGATATACCTTGGTGATAACTGCTAACAGGTATGAAATCAGAGGCCGATACTTCCTGAACTTAAACTTCAACCTTCTAACATCTATTCAAAATGCATGTCGATGGTGAGTCGCCTAGCTTGGTTATCACATTACAAACCCGACTGATACAACTCATGAAAAATTCCCATTCGAACATTAATAGACAGAAGACCAGTAGTTCAGAGAAGAGTCTCTTTTCGACAGCAAATTCATTTTCATAGCTGTACAATCGCAATTATATATACTTGTTTTGTATGTGTGTGTGTACAAACGAAAAACACAATTAGTAAGTTCAGATGAATTAGATGTTGATATATGAGAGTAGTAACAAAAGTGATGACTTGTTACAAACGATTGTTAAAGAAGAGTTACGTAATAACATAAATAGTTTGATGAAAGAGTTTTGCTCAGGGTGTACATGGAAACAAAATAACATACGGAATTACGCAAGGGATTTAAGTAGTTAGAAAAGTCAGCGTACAAACAAGAGTTAAGTCACCTGTTGCTGTGAAGCCAAGTACATCGGTCGTTCAACACGAATCCTGGCAAAAGGGTCAAAGAACATGTTGTAATCATTTGTAATCGTAGTATTAGTATTTCGAGATGACCGAATTACAAGAATCCAACCAAAACACAGATAGGGTGGAATTCAGGAATTTGTATTTGGCGGAATTATAATGCAATTCATATAAGAAATATATTAACAATCAACAGTAAGTATTTAAACAATACAGAAATAGAAATTGTCAATCACCACATCCGCCACGCGTCGAATATCTCCTTGCGTATTTATAACGATGTCTCGGTTTGCTTGCAAGTAGCTGAGACCTTCTAACTGATTCTGTGATATTATTTCCATCAGTATCATCTGGACTAATTTCTGAATTATCTACAAAATCAGGATTGGTAGCGGAATCATTAATATTATAATTGGAACGACCTACTTCATTTATTGTCACTTTGTCCAGGTGTCTGTTATGAACTGAGTGATCTTTGATGTCTAATATCTTCACCACTCGATTTCCCATTTTTTGTAGTATAATTCCAACAGAAGGTCTATAGTCTTTCCCTTTGTAATAATGAACATTAGAAGTCGTGGACATCAGATGCTTTTTGAGAATTCGAGATTTGAAAAGTTTTGCAGGACTTTCACGGGTACTTGTATGCTCTGCATTCGACAGACGCAGTCTATGCATATGCAACAATTCCTCCATTTTAATCAGTTGCTCTCTCATCTCATTCAGTTTTTTCGTGTTTTCGACAGTTCGCATTGTAACTCAGCTACCTCATTTTTGAAAACAGTTGACGCTTGAGTTGCTGAACTTGTAGTGGAGGTTTTCATTGGATGAGATTGAGTATTTTGAAAGGTTGAAAGACACATTGACTCCATTTTACTAGACAGATTGGGAGAATTATAAGAATGTTGAGCAACATAAGTATTCGAACTTCTGCAAACAGTCTTGATGTGTCCAACTTTACCACATTTGTGACACTTAGCACACCGAAAACGGCAAGTGCTTCGTAGATGTAACTTTCCACAGGATAAACACGGTTTAATGTTTTTGATCTCTCTCTGCATTCTATTACCTGTGGACGACAGTTTGGATTGCTTTCCATGAACACTTGTATTTTCGACTTTGGACAACATGACATCAGACACTGACGTAGTGGGAGCAGAGTATTCACTGTCGACATCTTCATATGTAATACATAAATCTTTAGCAGTTTGAAAGGTACAAGAAGGAATCTGAATTAACTCTTTCTCTAACTTAGGAATATTGATTCCAGCAATTAGACGATCACGTAGTTGAGTATGCAGCTGATCTCCAAAGTTACACTTTGAAGCTTGTATTTGGAGTTGAAGAATGAAGTCTCTGATCTTCTGATTGGGAGCACGAACCAGTTTATGGAATTGAGCCCTCTCTCTGGTCTCAAATGTAGTTACATGAAAGTGATTTATCAGAAGTTCACGAATCTTGTCATATGACAGAGAAATGGATTTATCTGGAAACGCCAGATTCTTCACTAGGCTATATGCATCTAGCCCAATAGCAGTGATGAAATGTGCTGGAATTTTTTCATCCCGAACGTTCTTTGAAATGCACCATGCATCGAAGCATTCAAGGTAACCAGCAATCTTCCGCGGAGAACCATTTATAGGAAATTTTCCAAGGTTATTTAGTTCCATCGCGACGCCAATTTGTTGTAATTATTTGTAATCGTAGTATTAGTATTTCGAGATGACCGAATTACAAGAATCCAACCAAAACACAGAGAGGGTGGAATTCAGGAATTTGTATTTGGCGGAATTATAATGCAATTCATATAAGAAATATATTAACAATCAACAGTAAGTATTTAAACAATACAGAAATAGAAATTGTCTATCACCACAGAACACTATCCAGCGTGGCTGCAGAAAAGGAAGTAGTGGCCGTATAATTAGTGCAATAATCGAACATCTCTTCACTACTGGTCATTCCATCTCAATAAACTCCTCCTTCAAATTAATCTACAAAGTAAAGAACAACCTGCCAAAGACAATACGTTCCCTTCTTCTTTGCGTTGCAGTAGCCCTAGCCATATATTTGGAAGAACCAGAACTATGCATACAAAAGAACATTATTCAACCACTTCTACTATCGTGGTAACAACTCTGTTCATTTGACTAAACTTTTGCTTGTATGTTTATTTTTCTAACTACTTGAATCCCTTGCGTAATTCCGTATGTTATTTTGTTTCCATGTACACCCTGAGCAAAACTCTTTCATCAAACTATTTATGTTATTACGTAACTCTTCTTTAACAATCGTTTGTAACAAGTCATCACTTTTGTTACTACTCTCATATATCAACATCTAATTCATCTGAACTTACTAATTGTGTTTTTCGTTTGTACACACACACATACAAAACAAGTATATATAATTGCGATTGTACAGCTATGAAAATGAATTTGCTGTCGAAAAGAGACTCTTCTCTGAACTACTGGTCTTATGTCTATTAATGATACAGCTCACTCATTATCAAAACTAAAGATTATACATGTATTGTGGTGTGTCTTGATAATAAGATTCATCAATAGAATATGTATGAAGCGATGTTCATCCGCATGAAAACATCAAATAGCAGGGAGATGATAGATTTGATGTCAGAGAAAGCAAATGATACAGAGTTGCTGCCTAAGATAGTTAACAATCCTAACAACGAATATGTGTCGAAATTCAAACAACAAAATTGTATCCATTGTCATTTTCAGGAACTCGTGAATTGTATGCCTGATTGAAGTGTCATTTTTAAATGAAACACTGAAACTAATGAATGACTGAAGACTTTCTGTTTGTTTGTTTCTGTTTATTTTCTGTTAGCCAGGATGTAGGATGTTTGACGTTATGCTCAGGAGGCATATGTACCTTGATCAAAAAGGAATTCATATGATATTTTTTTTTAATACATCTATAATATGAATGAGTTTCAGCAGTGGCGATTTTTTAACATGTGGCTAGGATTGTTATCGATCTTCTCCTTTTCTTTTATCTAAGAGATGAGTCTAAATGAGCATTTGTTCATATTTGTACCATATGTAACTCCCTGTCGTTTAGTGAAAAGGACGAACTGAAAGGCAAGGTACATTACAAACAATACAGTCGGCAATTCTACTTTATTATAACGATCAAAGATGAAATCACTTATTGAGGATTGACTATTTTAACTTTCAACTGCCAATTCTCTTTTCACACACTTTTGTCCCAGTGAAATTTTCCTTAATGATCCTGCAAATTTTTATAGAAAATCGTAGTCAAAGAAAAGAAGTTATATAGTTATAACTGTAGTGTATACCTAAATTAAAGAAGACGGGGTATACAGATGTTATTGACCTGCACCACTTCTATGGCAGCCAATGAGTTATGTAGTGATTAGATTAAGAGGAATCACAAAAAGTTATATCCAAAC